GGGAAACACTGGTAATGTATATTGAAATATCGGAAATGTGTTTAAAAATCATATCACCGTTATTGAAAAAAATTATATCGCGATACATATTGATATTGAATTATTGTCCAGCCCTACTATGGACCCTTTTTATATTTCCGGGGTTCTCAGAAGTTGTCATAGTTGAGTGAACTTCTACAGCAGTGAACGAAAAAGAGATTCAAGAGATTGATTATGGTGGTCAAAAGAGAGAAAAATATCATATTTGCTATTACTACCTCAGCTGTTGTATTAGAAACACTCACACAGCAGCATTAGATAGGCCTAGTTTTCTCTTTGTAAATTAATGGCAAGGTAATAAAACACAAAGTATAGTGATAGAAATGTTCATTAATTAAAAAACCTTGCTAGACATATGATGTTGATAACAAGTCATCATAGTCTGTGTAAAAGGCCCCATCCTTGATTCAAGTAAAATAGTTTTAGTTGATGATGGATAAAAAAAAAAGAAATATTATTGCTGCAGAAAATCTACAGGCATTTCTCCCAAAACCTTTAATGTGCTGTTTGGCCACAGGCTGGGATTTGGTGTGTTTTCTAGACTTTTAAAATATTAATAGCCAAGAAAAGTTGCTTGGATTTGTGGTGGTGGTTGATTTTTCCCCATGGTCAATTGTGAAGCTTGTCAGATTGATTTTTGCATTCCACATAAATATGAAATGATGTATTGTTGATGTAGATGTTGATAATGTGTGGGCTAAGTTATTTCATAATTTAAAGTAGTTAAACTAATGTCAAGCTACACTTTTTTAAAAATAGGTAAGATATAGTGGTCTTAAAGATATGGATTTTTCACCACATACAAAATCTGAATTTGCACTGTGTATTTTAATAAAAAAAAAAGCATAGTCTATTGCACTGCGTGTTTCAGAGTGTGTTCCTATTAGCGCCATACAAGCAGCTCATCGTCTGGTATTTTAAGCATTTGAGAGTGTTTTGGTTCACAAAAATGCAGCGAACTCCATCTCTGTGTATGTTTTGAGTTTTAAGTGTATTTTGGAAAGCAATACTGTATGTGTCAGTTACACTTTATTATCACATTCGCATAATTTACAACATTTTTGTGGACAGATTATTACAGAATTTCACACAGATTTGTAAAAATAAGCATTTGTTAACCCATTGTCACAGAAACCTAAAAGGCTTCCTTGCAGTTTTCTATTAAAATAAAAACTTGAGGGTTTTACTTTCCTCTGGACTGTCTGTGTGTGTTTTTCTCCCCATGTGCGCCCCGTGACCAGTTTCTCCCTTGTTTGATTTGTTACCCTTGTTTTGGACTATTAAAGACTGTTATCCTTAATTCTCCTATGTCTCCGCGCTCCTTGCCTCCTCACAGTAGCACCCTGACAAAACACTGGACCGACAACAAAAATAAATTCCTCTGGACTGTCTGTGTGTGTTTTTCTCCCCATGTGCGCCCCGTGACCAGTTTCTCCCTTGTTTGATTTGTTACCCTTGTTTGATTTGTTACCCTTGTTTTGGACTATTAAAGACTGTTATCCTTAATTCTCCTATGTCTCCGCGCTCCTTGCCTCCTCACAGTAGCACCCTGACAAAACACTGGACCGACAACAAAAATAAAGGTTTAGTTGCCTGTTTTTCCTCCGTTTTGTTTCCGCGTTTTGTTCAGTGTTTTGTTTTCTGGTTTTCCCCCATGGATCCCTTCGACCCCTTATCCCGTCCTGGATACCTCCTCCTCCTGCTGGAGCAGGGGGAAAGAAAGCTCGAGGGCCATACCAGACTGTTCCTGCAGAGCCGTCGTCCGAAGATGGCCCTCGAGAGGATTTCGCCGCCTTTGTGGAGTGGATACTGGTGAGAAATGGATCGCCATTCACTTCTGTTCCGAGGATGATCGCGCCAGTTCCACTCCGGATCCAGAGCCCAGCCCACCATCACCTCGCTGCGTGGAGCCAAAGCCCGATCCCACCGATGACGCAGAGCCCAAGCCCGCGTGACCGACGAGCCATCGCCGTATAGGGCGACAGAGTTGAGGAGCCGGAGCTGCTTATGACGTCAGATCAGGTGCGAGAGCCGGCTACAACGCCCGCCACGAGGAAAAGAGCTGTGGACAGCGAGATCACGGAGAGGAGCTCCGCCCACTACACCATGGCTGAGGGTGAGCTTATTGTGGATCTGGGAATGTGGAACGCTGAAGGGGATCCCGAATTGGATTTATGGGCTGACTTGCTGCCTCTCCTCCCTCCTTCGTCGGAGCCCTCTGTCAGTCCTGTTCCCACGTCTGGCCCAGGGAGGGCCTCAGTTCCCGAGTCTATCCCAAGGAGGGCTCCTGTTTCCATGTCCATCCCAGAAAGGGCTGCGGTTCCCACGTATGGCCCAGAGAGGGCTCCTGCCCCCACATCAAGCCCTGAGAAGGCTCCTGTTCCCACATCCCACCCAGAGAGGGCTCCTGCCCCCACGTCAAGCCCTGAGAAGGCTCCTGTTCCCACGTCCCGCCAGAGAGGGCTCCTGTTCCCACGTCCAGCCCAGAGAGGGCTCCTGTTCCTGAGTTTGGCCCAGAGAGGGCTCCTGTTCCTGAGTATAGCCCAGAGAGGGCTTCTGTTTCTGAGTCCGGCCCCGAGAGGACTTGTGTCACCAAGTCCAGCCAGGAGAGGGCTTCTGTTCCCAAGGGCAGCCCAGGAAGGGCTTTTATTCCGGAGTGCAGCCCTGAGAGCCCGAATGCTCACAAATGCCCACCCACCCGCTCGCTCCTGCCTACTCCCCTGCTGTCGTCTGGCAGCCCCTCTGCTCACCCTCAGCCCACCATCTGTGCAGTGGAATCACCGCGGATCTGCCAGTCTCCATCGGCGTCGTGGCTGGAGGATCCCCTATCTCCACCTCCAGCCTCTGAGTCCAGGACTCCGCCTCGGTCCGTCGACCCAATGGCTTCACCATGGCTCCTAGCTCCCTCCTCTCCGCCGTGGCCCGGCTGTCCACTGGCTCCCCCGGGATCCCTCGTCTCTCCGGCTCTGCCTTGGTCTGTCGTCGACCATCCATCGCCTCGTGACTCCACTCCTCCAGCTGCGCCTTGTCCCTCCGTCCCTCCGGTTCTGTCTGGCTCCTCCTTCCCTTCAGCTCCACCTCGGTCCTCTGTCGCTCTGGCTCCACTGCAGCCTTCTGGATCCTTGCCTCTGCCTCGGTCGCCTGAGCCATCTGTCCTGCCTTGGCCCTCCGGATCCTCCTCGTCACCCTGGCTCATCGGCTCTCCGCCTCGGCTCCTCCGCCACCTGCTCCGTCGCCGTTGGTCGGCCCCCTGGAGTCATCAACCCTTCTTCCTTCATGGCTCCTCCCTCTGTCGGCTCCACCATGGGACACCTTTACGGCTGTGGCCTGGGTCCCACCTGGCTCCGCCTGCTCCAAGCCCCTCCTGTCTTCTTCTGGTCCGCCCTGGCTCCTCCCCCTGTCGTCTCCACCATGGACTCTGTCTGCCGGCCCCCTCCCGGGTGTCCGTCCTCCTCCCGAGCCTCCTCCCAAGTTCCCACCCATCCCTCCCTATGTTGTTCCTGCGGCACGAGGATGCGCCTTCTGGGAGGGGGGTGATATGTCACACCTATGGACTGTCCGTGCATGTTTTTCTCCCCATGTGCTCCCCGTGACCCAGTTTCTCCCTTGTTTGATTGCGTTCATTTGGTTCAGGTGTGTCTCTTCAATTACCCTCGTTTAGTCTTGTATATAAAGTGTTGTCTGTTCCTAGTTTCCTTTGTCTGGTGTTACGTCTACCTTCATGTGCTACGTGTGTCTCCTGCCTGCCTAGTGTTACCCTTGTTTTGGACAATTAAAGACTGTTATCCTGAATTCTCCTACGTCTCCACGCTCCTTGCCTCCTCACAGTAGCACCCTGACATAACTCTTGCAAGTGAAGAAATTAAATCATGCCTATTGTAATTATTATTGTAAATTACAATTAAATATCTTAGAAATATTAATAATAATGTTACTATTTCTTCTTCTTTTTCTTAGTCCCACTCAGAGCTATCGGGCCTGAAGGATCTCAGACAGAAAAATTTCATTTAATGGGAAAATGCTTTGACTATGGTTTAAAGTGAATTAACTTTGATATTGTTGAAATATTATGCCTTTAATGTTGTGGCAATTTTTCCTTGTGGCATCAGAAAAGGTATTAAATGAAAGCTAGAAATTCCATTTTGGTGATAACAGTAAGTAGGCTAGTTAACTATATTAAAGTTACCTAAGAGGTCATTAATTAGTAAATAAAAGATTACAATTATCCAATCAAACTTAAAAAGGTACATTTATACTAAATACAACAAAATATCTTATTTTACATAACTGAGTTAAAAACAGCACAGGGACTCAAATGAGTGTAATGTTTTTATATCCGTTCATTTTCATGAACTGTCCAAATGAAATGAGTCACTCGAATTAATTAGACTTTCCAAACTGTAAATGATAGAGGAGACTGTTTAAGTGAAGTCATTTGATTAGCTCTAATCAAATGAGCTATCCCTTAGCTCAGTGTTTGGTCACGCTGCACGTTACAAAATAGCTTGTTACTGGATAAGATAAACTGCTTTGTCACACTACTGAAAAATGTACAGTAGTTAGTAGCTCAGCTCATTTAGTTAAACTTTACCTGTGGTAATGTTTTCAAAAATTCAAAATGTTTTCAAAATGTTCACCTCAATGGCAAAAATCATTCACGTCTAAATTTGGTCAGTCCAATCAAGTCACACCTTCACAGGTCATGTGCTGAAAATTCTGACATTATCTACCCACCCTCATGTTCAAAACTCACATTTTTTCCCATATTAATTAAACGCTGAATGTCTTGTGTGTTTTCTGTGTGCAGTCTCGTGAGCACTATGAAGAGCCGAAGCTGGAGGCGGTGAGGGACAATAATATGGAGTTAGTGCAGGACATCCTGAGAGACCTCACCACCCTCACACCTCACAGTCAGGCAGCAAATGAGCTCGCCTGCATCCTCAAAGAGCCGCACTTTCAGGTACAAGCAGAAACAGTCGAGCAAAAAACAACAAAATATTTTGAATTGTTTCATTTATATTTTTGAAGTGGTTTCCCTTCTACAGTCTTTACTTGAAACACATGACTCTGTAGCTTCCAAAAGCTATGAGACTCCGCCTCCCAGCCCCTGTGCGTTTATGGACCCTGCGCTCAACAACCAGCCTGTGCCTCCGGATGCTGTCAGGATGGTGGGCATCCGCAAAGTGTCTGGAGAGCACTTGGTGAGACCTGAACTGCAGCAAAATTGCTGTTTGCTGTTATTTGTTTTTATGCTGCTTCTATGCCTGCATGCCATGTGAGAAGTGCTTTGCAGTTAAATTGAACTGAAACTGAATATTTAATTAAGTGAGGCACGATTTACCCTTCATAAAACGGAAATGAGCTGCTTATTCTGCCACTAACAGAATAAAAGCCTTTTCACATTGAAACATGGCCAGGTACATGGGCCAGGGTTATTATTGTTCACTAAAACTGTTAAAAATAATGTTTTGTTAATTGAAATAAAGCTGAAACAAAATAAAAATATGAATATTAGATGAAAAATTAAAAGAAAACATTAAAAATGCTGCCTTGGCAACTAACTGAAATAAGTTTAAGTTCAAAAATGACTAACCGGAAATAAATAAAAACTAAAACTGAAATAAAAATTTTTACTAAAATGATAATGGGATTATAATTATAATCATAAGGAATAAAGTATAAAATAAAAGCTAATTCTAAATATTAATACAAAACTATATTAAAAAATAGTATATTAGTATAGTACAAAACTATATTAGTATAGAAATAATACTAAAATAACAGTGACAAGGCAATAATTGTAAATATAATAATTATAAATTGTTTTATGTATAGAATTTTTATATACATTTTTATATAAATTAGATAACACTTTAGTTTAGGGACCAGTTCTTACTATTAACTATTTGCTTATTAACATGCATATTACTATTTATACCATATTGTTTGTTTATTAGTACTTATAAAGCACATATTAGTGCCTTATTCTGCATGACCATACTTTAGATCCCTTATTCCTACTTCATACCTAAACTTAACAACTACCTTACTAACTATTAATAAGCAGGAGAATAATTAGGAGTTTATTGAGGGAAAAGTCTTAGTTAATAGTTAGTTAATGTCAGAACTGGTCCCCAGACTAAAGTGTGACTATGAATTATATAAATGTTTCTGGAAATTGTATAATATAATATAATATAATATAATAAATATAATATAATATAATAAGATTGATTACGGCATTCAGAAAAGAGATGTCAATTTTACGGTCACTCCCTCAGCAGCTCTATTGCAAACACCCTCGCAGCAGTTGACTAGTTGTTTGTAATTTAATGCCAGGGTAAAGTAACACAAATTATAGTGTTTTAAATGTGCAGCACATTTCTTTAAAATGAAAATGCTGTATATAAAAAAGCTATATATACAGAGGAAATTATCACAGTCTGTGAAAAGGTTCCATAGGATATGGAAAAAAATTACACATACCATATTTTTCAACCATAGTTTTTTTGCTTTCATATATAGGTTTAATTTTTCACTATAATTTCTACCCTAGTGATTGATAAATATGAATTAGTCTAATAAAGTTTTTTTTTTTAAATATATAAAGCACTCAATAAAAAAACGAAAACTGTCATGTTGTTTGAATCACATTCTGTTCACTCTGCCAGGGCGTGACGTTTCGGGTGGAGGGTGGAGAGCTGGTGATTGCTCGGATCCTGCACGGGGGCATGATAGATCAGCAGGGCCTGCTGCATGTGGGTGACATCATCAAAGAGGTGAACGGAAAAGAGGTGGGGAGTGACCCGAAGGTTCTTCAGAACATGCTGAAAGAGTCCAGTGGCAGCGTGGTCCTCAAAATCCTCCCCAGTTACCAAGAACCACACACACCACGACAGGTGAGCAACATTCAGATCTATTTTTGTTCAGTAGGAAATACCCAACAAAAAATAGTGACTAGTAATTATAAATGTTCGTAGACCTTCAATGAAATCACACTATAAGTGGTCACAGAAGACACATTTGAGACATGGTACTGTAAACAACAGTTACTTTACCACTTTTCTATCTTTGGCCGTCAAACAACAACATGATAATATGAGTCAGCTCCCTTGCTGATGTACCTAATGATTTGGAATAAATCAGAAAGCACAAGCTTGTATATCAGGTTATTATGTTGAAACACTAAATATAATGGTAGAAGACCAGAAAATACAAGGGAAGTCAGACAGTCAGTGTTGGGGGTAACGCATTACAAGTAACGCAAGTTACGTAATCAGATTACTTTTTAAAAGTAACTAGTAAAGTAACGCATTACTTTTTAATTTAGAAGGAAATATCTGAGTTACTTTTTCAAACAAGTAACTCCAGTTACTTTTTCATCCATGTATTGACTGACAGCTCTTGTGTTGCCATATTGAGAGAAATCGGGAGTAAGTGCAGAGGCGTTGTGTGCGCTGCATGAACGTGATGCTTACTGTAGTTCTACACTAAATATGAACAGATTCAGTATTCCTCAAAATGAATAAAAACTGTCAAATGCAAACTCAGAATATTATACAAACCTGCAATAATTAAATATGTTAAATAAGACAAATATAATTTATGTATTTAATCCCATTTTATTAACCAATGTCTTTGCTGCTGACCTTCGATGATCCAATTCAACCATACTAAGTAACGCAAAAGTAACGTAACACATTACTTTCCATAAAAAGTAACTAAGTAACGTAATTAGTTACTTTTTTAGGGAGTAATGCAATATTGTAATGCATTACTTTTAAAAGTAACTTTCCCCAACACTGCAGACAGTCGACTTGTCATGAACAGCCGATGATGAAGCCCATGTGTATTTAGTATACAGATGTTTACCCTAACTAAAATCCAAAATTGTCCTTAAATATTCTTACGATGAAGCGTACCGCTATAAAAGAAATCCATGTAATCGCCTAAATTTCCAGTTATTTCCAAATGTTGCCTGAATGCTTAAAATGTCCAGATTTTAAATGTTTAAAAAGTGTTTTTTCTTGGTAAGGTGATCGTTAAAGACAACAGTAAGGGATCATTCCATTTTGTTATTTTGCAAATATGTAAATGTTACATTTGAATGTTCTCTAATTCATCTGAAACTTGTAAGTAGTAATGTTTAAAAAATGTTAGACGAATGTCCAACTAGAATGTTTCAGAAAAACGATCCAAAAACGATGTATAAATGTTTTTGTGCTGAAGTTTTTGAGAATGTTTTGAGAACCAGATAACTTTGAACGAACATTCTATTAATGTCTCATGATTTTGAGAGAACATTGCCAGAACGTTGCCAAAGTTCTGAGAAAATTCACTGCTAACTGGGTTGGATCTGGTGTGAATGAAACATTAGATCTAATTCTTTTATTTCAATTATTCTTAATCACAAAATCATGGATTTGTTAAATTAATGAAGGTCTTAGTATATGGATACTTTGTATATGAATGTGCCAAAAAAGGAATTTGCCAAAAAAAAAAAAAAAAAGTTTGTATGTGTCTGACAGTTCAGTAAGCTTAAAAGCTTGACGGACAGAATGCTGGATAACAACAAGACTTGTCACAGTGATTTGATTGGCTATTTAGGCTGTCAGTCATTAATCTGTTGTAAGGGTCAGACCCAGATGGAACCAAAATGCTCACGTGCTGACACAAACATGTGAACACACATGTAACTGACATGTACTGCAATAACCTTGGTTCAAAATGCCTCTATATCAACATCTTTGAGATCAAACTGCCGGGTTCGGGTACCTGTCTCTCTGCCAAAGCATGCTGGGAGATTTGGTGCATTATGCCAAAGCCCTTCCTGTTTTTGACGCTGTGCCGCCCCACCTATTGAGATGAGACACCGACAGTCTGCCCTCTCACATTTTCAGCTGTGTTATACTGCGGATCTTCCCCGCTTTCTGCTTTTCTGAGATCTCCATCTTATTAAATGAGAATCAAATGAGTGAAGTTCTGTTTCTCTGCCCATATGGTGCCATATTCAGAGTGTCCCATCTGTGCCTGTCTTTATTTGATCCCAAAATAAATGAACAGCTTCCTGTGCCTGCTGCCAATATGGGAATGGACATCACAGCGTCATGTTAATAATGTGATGCACGCTTCTATGATGTGAATATTCATGTTTTTGAGAGCTGCTGTAGGTGTTTGTGCTGGCAGATGGTATTGTTGGCATGTGTTATGTTGTGTGTGGAAGATGCTTGTTGTTGACTGGCTGAATGATGTAATCCAGGCATATTTTCTGTGTCTTGACGTTCCAGCACCTAATAGCAACATTCCACTGGACTGCAGGTGACTACAGTTGCCATGACAACAGGATTTTAGGCACTGAAATGTCTCTTGAAGGGATAGTTCAACCAAAAATAAAAATCCCATCTTAATTTACTCACCCGCATGTTATTTTAAACCCGTGTGAGTTCCTTTATGAAATGTTTGCTGAAAGTCTTCTCCTCCTACATCTTGTTTGGCTAGTTTTCCCATTTGACAAAGAGGTGTGCCTAATTATATTGAATGTTTACTTGTAGTGTACGTCAAATCTTCAAATCAAAATAGTATATACAGGGTATTTAAAAAAAAAAAAAAAAATGACTTGCAGATAATATAATATTAATGAGATAAAAAAGTGTATTTAAAGTTATTACACTTTTATGACTATTTTTATTCTTATCTATCTTTTATTGTTATTTGTATTGCTGTCTATTATTACACTTTTTATTATTCATTGTAAATGATGTCAAATCAAAATATTTACCTTAAAGTACATTTTAAATCATTATGTTTTAGACATCTTTTGTTGTGCTTTACAGAAGCGCACTTATTTTAATGTGTTGGCTAGCATTCTAAAGCAAATGTAAATACTTGATTATAATTTTAACTGTAGTGTGTTATTTGAAAAATCACATTTAATGTAGGCCTATAGTTTATTTAAAGTGGTCATATGATGCGATTTCAAGTTTTCTTTTCTCTTTGGAGTGTTACAAGCTGTTCGTGCATAGATAAGATCCCTGAAGTTGCAAAGACTAAAGTCTCAAAACCAAAGAGATATTCTTTATCAAAGTTAAGACTCTGCCACGCCCCCCTAAAACGGCTCGTTCTAACACGCCCCCACATATCTACCTCACTATGTGGAAATATTTGCATAATGCCGCCCAAATGTGCACGCAAAGAAAGAAGGCGTAACTTTGATTCTCAATGTGTTTTTTGAACATTAAAGCATGTCAACATATTCTGTTACACCAAATACACAAAATAATGATCTTTAAAAAAGCATCATATGACCCCTTTAATATAAATGCTTGTCAGCCTATTTTGTCAGCAGTACACTTTACAGAGTAGCCTACTTCTTTTCACTAGGGCTAGTATTCAATTTATAATTTATAATGATAAACACATAATATTTCACACTTTGACATTACAGTTTGAATGGCAATAAAATATTTAATGATATTGATTTCTTTTCCCCTCACACATTTCATATTTCATCTCAAGCTGATACGGACACTCATGTCTACTAAGTGAAAAAAGCACACTAACTTTTGGGGAAAAACAACCCTTCTTTGGGACAAAATGTCATTGGGAAAACTTTTTTTAATTGTGATATAAATGACTGCACAAATGAGGAGAGGTTTCATTTGTGTAAAACATTATTTTTTCATAGTTCATATTTTTATAAATTGTATACATTTTTATAAATTGTTGTTATAAATTATTCATAATCATTAATAATTAGTATTATGGTATAGTATTCTTATAATAATATTAATTGATATTTTGATTATGGATTTTCCTGTTTTAAGATTAAAAGTCTGCGTGAAAGAGGTAAACAAGTAGAAGATAGAAGATAGTTTTATTGTGACCTTCATGTAACAGGAAAAAAGTTGTATTAAAATCAACCTAAAATCAACATAAAAGTGCCTGGCATTGAATAGTGAGTGTATATTTATGTTGACAATATAAGTAATCACTAGAGATAGATGTGCGCACTTTCATTTATGCTAGACATACACCATTAAAGTTTTCAACAGGCTGTCAGTATGACACTCTGATTGATGGACATATTCAATAATAATATGTCCATGTGTTTCTCTGTCTTTACTCTTTTCTCCCTCTCTCCACCTCTCTCTCGCTCTGTCTGTCTGTCTGTCTATCTGCAGGCCTTTGTAAAGTGTCACTTTGACTATGACCCCTCTCATGACAACCTGATCCCCTGTAAAGAAGCTGGACTCAAATTCAGCAGTGGAGACATCCTTCAGATCTTCAACCAGGAGGACCCCAACTGGTGGCAGGTGCTTGCACATGTGTGTGTGTGTGTGTGTGAATATATGTTGGTGATCCTTAAGCTCTGTGTGGTCTCACCTTGACTCTGGTCTCACCTGCAGGCATGTCATCTGGAAGGAGGCAGTGCAGGCCTGATCCCCAGTCAGCTGCTAGAGGAGAAAAGAAAAGCATTTGTCAAGAGAGATCTGGAGCTCTCTAGCACAGGTAGGACACAGGGCACTAAAGATATTCATATATAATGAATTCAGGTCGGGGTACACATGTCTTTTTGCTGTAAAATATTTAATTGTTTTTATAACGAATAACTTTTATATTGTTATTATTAATATTTTTTTAAGATAACATTTCCTGGACTGAAGCAACTTAGGTGTACTTTATTATCCACACATCGTAAATGTTTAGAATAATCATGAGCATCGTCTAAAATGTGAGGCGTTTGAGGAGTGTTTATATTTGTCCATCTCGCAGTCATCATTGTATTGCATTGCATTATATGTTTTGCCCGCACAATAAAAACTAAAGAGCTCTAAAAATTAAATATCATCTTAATAAGACATATTTTTGAGTAATATAGAGTGACAAATTAAATGTATTTGAATTTTATGTAAGTATGCTGTGACACTGCTATAAAGAACTCATTGATTTACATTACAAATCAGAATTTAATCTTAATATTTTTGACATATAAATAGCAACATCTGCACCAAATAGCATATTTTTGCTCAGTTTGTGCCTTTGAATAAATCTGGGGTGTTTTTTCCTCCTTGAGTATGAGCTCCATATTCACCTATATCATACTATATGAACCATAAAAGCCTGATGTATCAAATATGATACAAAACTTAAAACACATATGCATACTTTTAAAAAAGATTTTCTTTTATATTTTGTCTAAAGGTTCATTAAACTGTTCCTATTTATTCCTAATTATTACAGAGTGGTGCCCCCTGTAGGAATATCAGCATGATTCACGTAATAAAGAAGAACTCTTTGCTGTAAATTATAGGAAAAGGCCATTATTTATTCATCCTCAAATCATTCCAAATCGGTATGCTGTTATTTTGCTCTGTAAACTACAGTAATTACACTGGAAGGATCTAAAAGATTTCATAAGTATGGCCTGAGGTTAAATGGACAGTGATGTGTTTGTCTCCTGTAGTAGACAGGAGTCATTCTGTGTGTTTATACTACCAGGATGTGTGCTGATGTCCGCAGGGCCTCTGTGTGCAGGGATTGGGGGTAAGAAGAAGAAGAAGATGATGTACTTGACCACCAAGAACGCCGGTAAAGATGGCTGCTGTCCAGTGGGACGGATGCGCATGTGTCGTACTCTTGTTCTCTGTTGTGATTGTTGTTGTTGAAGTCAGTTCTCTTTCAAACAATCGTTCGGTATCTCACTATGGGAACGCCCCCAGGCGTGATAGACTATGGAAGCACCAATTACACCACGTCTGTCCGAAGGACGGACCAATCACAGCTCATGAAAAGGAGCCCACCCTCTCCCTATATATACAGCTATGATCCCCGAAACGGCATTCTTGTTCTCTTCCCCGTGAAGACTTTCCTTCAGCACCTAGGCTGCGCTGCTTTCAGTTCGTAGACCTGTGTGCAGGGATTGGGGGTAAAAAGAAGAAGAAGATGATGTACTTGACCACCAAGAACGCCGGTAAAGATGGCTGCTGTCCAGTGGGACGGATGCGCATGTGTCGTACTCTTGTTCTCTGTTGTGATTGTTGTTGTTGAAGTCAGTTCTCTTTCAAACAATCGTTCGGTATCTCACTATGGGAACGCCCCCAGGCGTGATAGACTATGGAAGCACCAATTACACCACGTCTGTCCGAAGGACGGACCAATCACAGCTCATGAAAAGGAGCCCACCCTCTCCCTATATATACAGCTATGATCCCCGAAACGGCATTCTTGTTCTCTTCCCCGTGAAGACTTTCCTTCAGCACCTAGGCTGCGCTGCTTTCAGTTCGTAGACGTACCGTCAAGTTGACATGGACGAATGCAGTGTAGTCAAAAAGAAAAGAGAAAATCTGTTGCAGATTTTCTGCTCGTTACTGAGCTTCTTTGCTTTGCTGTAATTAGCCGTGTTTCCTATCCTAGCTAATGCCTTAACGCTATCTAAGGCTAGGGGATATTTGACTCACCATGTCAGTGTCCTAGGTTGCGGCGGAGAAAGGGAAGGATGCCCCTTCGCGCTCATGTCCGGCAGCATGTGGATTCATGATCTCGGGCAGGGATTCGCATCCGATGTGTATCGCATGCATGGGTGTCAAGCATGCCCAGGCCGCGCTGGTGGATGCGGAAAGCTGTTCGCACTGTCGTGTAATGCCGGCCAGGATTCTAGAGAGAAGGCTTCGAGTAGCGGCATCTTCCAAAGACGATCCGGTTCTCTCCGCTGTCCCTCCTTTGGCAAAGGGGGCCCAACCCTCTCCCCCGCGTGATCTTTCTTCATGGGGGGATATTATGGATTCGGAGTCCCCTGAGTTTGCACCGCTTTTCGACCAGCAGTTGCTGGTGGACGGCGATGAGGTCGAGGGAGATGAGGAGGAAGATGAGGAGATGCTAGCTCGCCTCCTCCGAGATGAGCCGGATGATGAGGAGGATGATGCTATCCTGTCTGCAGCCCAAGTGTCCAGGCCCGTGAGCGCGCAGAGTGGCGATGTGGCGTCGACGGTGGTGGATTGCGACCTAGTCGAGGTCCGTAAACGTGCTGCAGCTAAGCTTGGCATCGCTTGGCCTGTAACTCCCGGGGATCCGGGAGTTAAAGGGATACTCCACCCCAAAATGAAAATTTTGTCATTAATCACTTACCCCCATGTCGTTCCAAACCCGTAAAAGCTTTGTTTGTCTTCGGAACACAATTTAAGATATTTTGGATGAAAACCGGGAGACTTGTGACTGTCCCATTGACTGCCAAGTAAATTACACTGTCAAGGTCCAGAAAAGTATGAAAAGCATCGTCAGAATAATCCATCTGCCATCAGTGGTTCAACCATAACGTTATGAAGCGACGAGAATACTTTTTATTAATGACAAAATTTTCATTTTGGGGTGGAGTAACCCTTTAAACGGGATATCTATGACAGGAAAAGGCTCCCTTCCCGCCTTCCCCCAGCGAAACGAATAAAGCGGTCATGAGATAAACCCTTTTTTTCATCGTGTGCCCGTCAAGGGTTACTCGTGTCTCGATGTGAGTGAGATGGAGGGGCTTGGGCTCTCTAACCCTCCCACAGTTGAACAGTCAGTGGCTCACCACCTGCATCCAAACAGGCGGACCACTCTCTCATCGGCCAGCCCCTCCCTCCCTGGGAAAATGGAACGCTTCACCGCTCAAAGTCTTCGGCACTAGAGGTGAGGGCACTAAACGTCACTTCATCAAGCGACAAGGCATGTCATGTCTAAATTTTAGTCTGGATGACGGCAAAGTTACACTGCTGCCAAACCCGGCTTTCGTTTCCAAAGTCAATGATTCAGATTATAACTGCTCTGCTTTGGAGTTGCATGCATTTTACCCTCCTCCATTTTCTTCTTCAGAGGAGAGGAAATTGCACACTTTGTGTCCTCTACGAACGTTACGCTATTATGTAAACAAGACACGATCCTTCAGAAAGGATGGTCAGTTATTCGTTTCATGGGCCACTCATTGTAAGGGTAAGCCGATCTCCTCGCAGCGCCTCTCCCACTGGATGGTGGAGGCAATTGAAATAGCCTATACATCTATGGGTCTTCATTCCCCAGAGGGCCTTAGGACCCATTATACGCGAGGTATTGCTACCTCATGGGCGTTGTTCAAGGGGATTTCAGTGGGAGATATTTGTGAGGCGGCAAGTTGGACTTCCCCGCATACATTTATCAGATTTTACCGTCTTGATGTCACTGCGCCTTCATTGTCTCATGCGGTTCTTAAAGTTGGCTCTTTGGAGAATTGAAAGGTTATCTTTCTTCCTTTTCGAATCTGTTCTGTGGCTTCGGAAGCATGCGTTACGGGAGTTGGCTATATCATTCCCATAGTGAGATACCAAGCGATTGTTTGAAAGAGAACGTTAGGTTACCCGGTTCTCTGAGAACAGAGCGAGGTATCTCACCAAGCTTCCCTACTCGCATTACACGGGGTAAGAGCATGCTTAGAATGCCGTTTCGGGGATCACAGCTGTATATATAGGCAGGGGGTGGGCTCCTTGTCATGAGCTGTGATTGGTCCGTCCTTCGGACAGATGTGGTGTAATTGGTGCTTCCATAGTCTATCACGCCTGGGGGCGTTCCCATAGTGAGATACCTCGTCTGTTCTCAGAGAACCGGGGTTACGCAAGTAACCTAACGTTTGCTTCATGTTAAAATGGCAGTCGTTTGTATAATGAGTTTGTAGTCAGTTCCATTTCAGGAGAGGTACTTCAGGTTCATAAACTGAAATGTGTTAGTTGATTGAAAGAAAATGAGAAATACAGTAAATGGAACCTCAATAAAAGCCATATTTATCTGACAAGATGAACTGGAACTGACAAATTATACATTTAGATATAGTGACTAAATCAGACTAACAATAGATGAGATCTTTTCACCATACCAGAGTTCGACCGACATGAGTTGAGGATCTACGAGGAAGTGGCCAAGGTGCCTCCGTTCCGCAGGAAGACGCTGGTTCTGATTGGAGCACAGGGTGTGGGCCGCCGCAGCTTGAAAAATAAAGTTTTGGTGTCAGACCCACACCGTTATGGAACCACCACACCTTGTCAGTGCATATTTATATTTTAATATTTTAATATTAATAATATTTTAATATAATAATATTTAAATATTATATTTAATATTTATGCATTAAATATTAAAATTGTCTTCATGTTGGATGTGATTCAAGTGGGGCCACATTCACTGTTATTATTATTATTATTATTATTAACCAATAATTTATCAGTAATGCGACCTTAATCAGAAACAACCAACCAACCAACTCAGAACCATCCAAAAATTACATTTAAACATTAAAAATGTACTTAATATGAATAAATAAAACATACATGTGTGTAAATCTGATTATTTGCAGTGCTATTGTTAATCAGCTCTTTTTGTCCCTCTGAACAGACACATCTCGTAAACCCAAGGTGGATGAGAAGGAGGGGCAGATGTACCTGTTTATGTCTCGCAGCGAGATGGAAGCTGACATCAAATGTGGCCGTTTTCTTGAACACGGGGAATATGACGGAAACCTGTACGGCACCAAGATCGACTCCATTCATGAGGTTGTGGACTCCGGCAAGATTTGCATTCTGGATGTCAATCCACAGGTGCTCTTTAAAAATTTTCGATATCCTAAAGAGTGCATTAGTGGCCACTTTTTCAACAGTGCTGATTCCTGAAATATTTTTCCATTTTATTTTCCCATAGGGAAAGGTGAATCACAACATTCAAACATATTCAAACTGATTTAAAGAAACAAAGTACTAGATTTTTAAAATCTAAATACCTATAAAAAAATTATATTCGATACCGTTTTCGATACCACAGGGAAAAACTGCCATAACATTAAGGGCATAAAATTAGATTTTTAATGAAAAATTATTATTTTTCCCTATTTTTACCCAGAATAGGGTGCTGTGAGCATTATGGAGCATTGTAAACATATTAATGTATGTTTCATTCATAGTGTAAGGCGTCCTTGTGCGGAAACTCCAAATATGCCTCACAAAAGTAATATAACTTATGATGTTCCAGGAAATCGTTAATATGGACAAACAGGGCTCCAGACTAACTATTTTTACTAGGAGCACTGTAGCCCCTGATTGATAATTTTTAGGAGCACAAGCAGAAAATTTAGGGGCACACCTTAAATCAGCCTGCAATGCAATCATTCACATATTTTCCCCATTTTAACTGTATTACTGACAAATGCTTTGATAATAAATAGACTCAGGGCTCAAGACTAACATTTCTGAGTAGTGGCACCAGCGCCAGTACGTTCTACAGATTTTGGCACAGGAAGCAGATTTGGTAGCGCTGGGGGGTATTAAAAACAAAGATAATTTAATCATAAAAATACTATTGTTTTGAATTAACAAGTGCAGTTACTAATAATGTTACACATTTATTTCTTGGTAATGCACATTTGACAGTAAAGCACTGAGCCGGAGTTGGGAAGTTTACAAAATTTACTTTTATTCAAAACAGTAACGAGCAAAATATATTTTTATATGAAAAAAATATATATTCTACTCTCATTAACTGTTCCATTATTCTTTTATAGTAGCCTATTATATTGAACTGGATGACAGCTTTAGCGATTTTCAAAGGAATGCTCTTTGAGTGATTCAGTTGCAAATTGAACAGAGTTTGTTTTTCAAGGCACTTTGTGACTTTTCTTACTTCATACACATGAAAAGTGTAAAACTTTGACAAAATTAGATTTTTTGATGATTTGATATTTTATAATAGTGATTTTTGGAAAAAAAAAGAAAAAGGAAATGAATGACTAATAAGCCAATAAGAGCTCCTCTGCTGCCATCTACTGGTTATAGTGGTAATTTGATGTCTTTTTTAAATTTTATTTTAAATAAGTGTTTACCACACAGTATATTTTGGTCATCCCATTCAAAACATTTAAATGGGATCATTTTTAGAGCTTTAAATTGCTGGAAATAGTTGTGTGAAATACTTAAAAGTCATTGAAAAGTGCTTGAATTTCTCTCTCAAAAGGTTGTACAAACTCTGAAATGAATAATGTAATAACATTCGACTCGTTCTGCCACAACACCATGGTTACAGTTAGCGTTACTGCTTCTTGTTTTCTGCATCAGTGCTGTTTGATCTGTTTATAACAGAGAATTCTGTGCAGAACTTGAATACTTCTTGCTAGATCTCACAGCAACCTTTATTCATTCTGCGGCGAGTTCAAACCTGGTTCAAACGCTTCTCACTGGATCTCGCAGCGCTGTGCTGTAGGGTGTCGCGAGATCAACACTGGGTCCTGAGTAAAGCTGTTCTGAGCTCGGAGCAGTTTGCTTGCGCTGCGCTCAATTATTGGTCCGAGCTGATAAACGGTCGCGCTGCACGCTGTTTCGTCACACTTTTGTTTCGTTTGCCGTTTGATGTTTCTCATATGCAACAGAAATGGCAGCGCTTAGGAGTTGGGCAACGCGGTGGTCGTGCCAGTGCGACCGCTCACAAAATTTAGCCAGAAAAAATGGTCGCGTCGCAGTCTGGAGCCCTGACAAAGGGGTCCAACTATTGTTGTAACTGGAAAAAAGAAGAGAGAAACGCTTTAACTGATCAAACATGAAGACAATAAACACAACTGCGACTATACAGTACATGGTTTATCTGTGTTCTTCAAGCCATCTTGGGTATTTTGGAGAAATATAAAACTATTTGTGACCCTGGACCACAAAACCAGTCATAAGTAGCACGGGTATATTTGTAGCAATAGCCAACAATACATTGTATGGGGCAAAATATCGCTTTTTCTTTTATGCCAAAAATCATTAGGATATTAAGATCATGTTCCATGAAGACATTTTGCAGATTTCCCACTGTAAATATATCAAAACTTAAAAATGTTTTGATTAGTAATATGCATTGCTAAGGACTTGATTTGGACAACTTTAAAGGCAATTTTCTCCATATTTAAATTTTTTGCACCCTCAGATTCCAGATTTTCATAGTTGTATCTCGGCCAAATATTGTCCTATCCTAACAAACCATATATCAATGGAAAGCTTATTTATTCAGCTTTCATATGACATATAAATCTCAATTTTAAAAAAATGGTCCCTTATGTCCATTCCACTTCTGGAACCCAACTATTGCACTCTAGTTACAAAATTTGACTGTTCGTATAAATATTCTAGGCTAAATACTACTAATACCTGATGCAGATTATTTCTTTTAAATGGAAGTCTATTGGGCAATTTTACAAATATAGTTCTACAATTATCACCTCATTTCATATGTTTCATTGTTCTCCTACAGGCGCTGAAAGTTCTGCGAACAGCCGAGTTTCTTCCATATGTGGTGTTCATCGAAGCCCCAAACTTCGAGGTTCTGAAAGACATGAACAGATCTGCCATTGAGGCTGGTGTTGTGAATAAACAGCTGACGGTAATTTCTTTCTTGATGCCCTCAGAATGATTAGTTCCTTGAATGTTGACTATATTCCTTGAGTCTCTCTCATTTAATCTCTCTCTAGGACTCAGAGCTCAAACGGACAGTGGATGAGAGCGAAAGGATCCAGAGGGCGTACAGTCACTATTTTGACCTGAGCATTGTGAATGACAACCTGGACGGAGCGTACCGCAGCCTCAGGAGGGCACTGGACAGACTCAACACAGACCACCAGTGGGTTCCTGTCAGCTGGGTCTTCTGAGAGCAGTTGGGTTCTTTTCGGTCTGCATTTCTCAAAGTGGCTAGGAGTCTAGTTAACTGCTGTAATCTATGTGAACTTGCCTGTTCTTTAGATTTTTGCACAAAAAAACATGACGATTCAAAGCTAGTTTATTATTTTGTAAAGAAACGAAGCTGATATGTATATCTGTATTTGTTTTAAAGGAGTTCTGTACAGTGCTGTACGTTTGTTATTCCTGTGAGAGTAGGGCTGTATATTTGTATAGAAACTGTAGAATATGTTTTAACACCCTACGTTACATTAAAGCTATTCAGAATCACGTTGGATATATCAATGCTATATGATTACGTAGTGTTTTGCAGGGATTGTTTAGTTTTGATGTTTTAAAAGCAGAATTGAAGAGTGGTTTGGCGTGTCATATTCCCGTGAATGTTCGATTCGTTTGCGTTATTTCTTGTAACATTCGTTAGTACAAAATCAATTTCAGTTCAGAAAATGACAACAGCCAAATATGTCACGATATACGTCATTTGAAATTGATTGGTCTTCAGGGGCAGATTTAGTGAATTGGGGGCCCCAGGCAAAATATAGGAATGGGGCCCTATACATTTGCACACATTTTCCTAGATTAACCTTGAGGTTCCTTTTTTGTTGTGATGCTTGCTGCTGCACAATGGTGCCCCATAGTTGTCCAATGTTTCTACATTTTTCATGTACATGTTATAATGGCTTTCTTTCATGTTGTAGACCACGAAATAGCAACTGATTTACAGTGGAGATACAGGTTTTCACAAAAACAAAATAAATTGTAAAATGATAAACCTCACAATTGAGCGTCAGACTTACAAATTATTATATTAATTTAAAACGAGGTTATGTGGGTGGATTTTCGCATTTCGCACAAAAACTACAGACTGGATTATTGAAAACGAACATTCATTCTCTTCCAGTAGGTGGCGCTGGATTATTGAAAGTGAACAGTCATTCTCTGCCAGTAGGAGGCGCTTTTGGAACGTCAGAAATATAGAATGAGAAAAGTGTGAAAAAATATAGACTAAATTGACAAGGAAAATCCACTGATGAGTTACCAGCGTAAGCCTGTGTGCAAAGGTGCTAATTGTAAACTTTAAAATACATTTATTTTTAGTTGTTTTAACTACAAATTTAAATAAAACTTTAAAAATAATGAAAAGGCAATTATACATTTACACACCTAAAATACATATATCAAGAGCATGCTCACGGATGAAAACAAAACAGCGTTGGATGAAGTGGATTAAAGCCCTGCACGGGTCTCAAATCTAGCCCGTCTTTTTTCCCCTTTTCCCAAAAAAAGCTTATACTACTGTTTCAGCTATTAAAATAGTTCAGTTTTGTATGTAATGGAAAAGTGATTATATTTTTTCGTTTTTTTATAAAGTAAATTTAGAAAAACATTTGGAGTATTTTTT